ATGCATCAAGGAAGGATCTGGAAATAGGTGCACCTGACTATTACAGAAATACCTTTTCTAACGCAATTTGAAGATAACATGTATTTGGAAGTAAACGCATCAAAAATCTCACAAGACACCTGTGAAATCTACCAGTTTATGGGGACACATCCCTACGCCCTCCCTACGTGAACAGGAACCAGGATTCTTCAGAACTTAAAGCTAAACCAAAACTGGAGGCCTTTCTTTTTACCTCATTCTTAATCCTCCAGGTCTTTTCTGCTATTGCCAACTTAAAGCGTTAGCATGGAGAAGGACGGATGGTTTCTCTTTCTTTAGGAATTACATCTTGCCCACAGACTTTTCTTTTTTAGATGTTTATTTATGTATTTATTTTGGTGCTCCGGGTCTTGGTTGTGGCATGCATGTGGGATCTGGTTCCCTGACCAGGGATGGAACCTAGGCCCCCTGCATTGGGAGCGTGGAGTCTTGCCCACTGGTCCGCCAGGGAACTCCCTACAGAACTTCTTTTTTGATGTTATCTTTTTAAATAATACAGATTTTCAAGCATTAAATTTTTTTTTTGCTTTTCATGATTCTCTTACTCCTTCCCTCTTTCGTTCTTAATAAATATACTTTTTTTTTTTTTTTTGCGGTACGCGGGCCTCTCACTGTTGTGGCCTCTCCCGCTGTGGAGCACAGGCTCCGGACGTGCAGGCTCAGTGGCCATGGCTCACGGGCCCAGCCGCTCTGCGACATGTGGGATCTTTCCGGACCGGGGCACGAACCCGTGTCACCTGCATCGGCAGGCGGACTCCCAACAACTGCGCCACCAGGGAAGCCCAATAGATATACTTTTAAAGGGGCTAACAGTCTGAAATGCATGGCAAATATTATGAAATTGCTTTGGTTTTACTGTTAACTTATTGAGTACATACAGATGTGTAATGATTCTTCATAACTGAATTGTATGTGAACATATTTAGTCAACAATTTTAGAGTCTTCACATTATTAATCTCCCTTCTTTTCCTTTTCTATTGTTAGTTTTCAATACTCTGACCTCAAGGAGGGTTGGGTAGGATAATATGAAATGGTGTTAATTTTAATTTTTAAAATTTAGTGTTTATGTATATATTTTCACTCTTCATGCTGTCTTATCTGGATGAACAAGACTTATCTGGAAGAGCAAGACTTATTCCTGTTGAGGATGCATTGCAAGGAGTATGTTGTAAACACGTTAATGATTGCTGACAAACATTTGTTTCATTTCTTTGGTACTTCCGTTGAGTGTACTGTCCATTGTTTAGGAAAAGCAAACATTCAATAAAGTAGTCACAAAATAGGTACTTGTCTCATCCCTAAAACCCTAGTAGAGTTCTGTGTTTGGAAAGACGGTTTTTTAAGCAGCTGAGCTACGAATGCAAAGTCTTATTTTGGTAGATCCTACTCTTTGTTGCTTCTTTTTTTTCCTTTTCGATTATAGGCCTTGTTGTTTGAGATTTACATGTAACGTTGACAGTCATGTGCAAATCATATGTATTTGGTGGCAAACCTCACTGCGTTCTGAGATGATTTTGGGGGAGCAGCAATTTAACTTCAAAGGAAATTTACAATTCTTTTACCACAAATAAGGCCTAGATTTGCAACCTTTAAATTATGCTTAATTATAGTTTAATGGAATTGTGGACTATAAAGGAAAAAATAAAGATGTAAACACAATCTAAGTATATACGTTTTAGCCATGTGCTTTTTTGACTGAAGATATAAAAATAGAACTCAGATCTTTTAGTAGCCGTGTAGTTTACGCATATGAAAGCATAAACACTGTTATATTTGTAAACAGTGCTGTGGCTGATATAAGGCACTCTTGTTTTTTTTTTCTTTTTTGAGACAGAATGGGGCAAATAATATATTTTAATAAATTTGATTGGAAAAAATTAATTCATTAAAAGAAAAATTAGCTGCCAGAATGAGAAGGACTCTTGATATAAGCTACTGCTGTAAAACACCTCTGACATATGCAGGCTATTGTATTAAAAGTTAGATAGTGGGGAAATAATCTCATTTTTTAAAGAAATCTTTGAAAACAGACAATGTATTAACTTAATTTTAATAGTAGATTATAATCATTTTCTTTAAAAACTTGTCAGTATAGAGGAGAATTCATCTAACTTGATAGATCCTTCTGTGTCCTTATGAGATCTACTGGTGCTAAATTATGTGGAGAGGTATTGATTATTTGATATATGTGAATATAACCTATGGCCATATCGAACATTAGCCCCCAATGAGAGGGAACGTGCTTTTGCACAAGTGATAATTATAAATAATAATTATTTAATTTAAACATCCTATGGCGCTTAAGGCATATTTACTAATATGATGATATTCCCCATTATATGCACTGTATATATTCAAAGGAAATTATGTTTGTCTTTATCTTGTCTTAGACAATATAAAATCATACTTAACAGACTCATTGTTGAAACAGCTGAGTTTAAGAGAATGAAAAAGCTGCTTTAAAAGTATTTGGGGTGTTTTACCAATAAAACAGGTATTCTTTAACCCGAATCATATTCTCACTAATAAATAACCCTTGACATTGTCTTTTGAATTCAAGAAGTATCTTAGAGCATATTCTTAAGTTGCATTTTATCAGTGTGAAGTATGTATTTTGAGTCACATAAATAGTAAATGAAAAGTTGCTGCAATGACTCTAAGTGCCGTTGAAGAACGAAGGGCAAAAAGACATACTTGCAAATCAAATAGCTTTGCGCACAGCAGAAGGTATATTAATTGTCTACTGTTAGGTAAGAAATCACCACGAACCCGCAGTTTTATACACCCTGTTTGCTCTCAGCTCTGGAGCTGAGAAATCCAGGCCTGGGAGACTGGGCTTTTGCTCCAAGTTTTTACAAGACTAAAATCAAGGTATGAGCGAGATTCGATTCCTTTCTGGAGGCTGGTGAAGAGTCTGCCTCCGATTCATCGAGGTCTCTTGAGGTTTCAGGATAAACCCCCTCTTTCTCGGTACCTCTCAGCCGTCCACATCCTGGGCACCAACCCGCTCCCTTTCCAAGGCCACCACACAGAATTTTCCCCATTGAGTGTCTTTCACACTTGGAATTTCTAAGATCAGGAAGGGCCAGCTCCTGTTAAGGGCTCACCCTATTAGGTTAGGCTTCTCCTATAATCTAACTTTGGGTTAACTCAGAGTTAACAACTGACCTGATCCTGGGAGTAATGCCCCATCCTTGTCACAGCTTCCACCCACTCAAGGCAGAGGCTCCTGACGCGTGAGGGACATCGGGGGTCGCCTCAGAGTCTGCCTTCCAGAGCGGGAAGCAGGGTCATTGGTGTAAAATCATGGAGAGAGCACGTGGAGTTGAAATACTTAGCAGGCAAACTTGGCATGGAGGAGTCCATTGGTCAAAAAGGAATTAGGATTCACAGATCCATACTACTGTCTATAAAACAAATAACCAACAAGGACCCACTGTAGAGCACAGGGAGCTGTACTCAGCGTCTTGTAATGACCTATAATGGAAAAGAAGCTGAAAAAGTAGATACATATGTCTGTATCACTGAATCACTTTGCTGTACACCTGAAACTAACACAATACTGTAAATCAGTTACGTTTCAATTAAAAAAAGGGAAGTAGGGTATGGGAGTGAAAGAATTGAAGAGGAAAAGGCAGAAAACCATAATAGAAAGAAAAAAAAAAGAGAGAAGAAAAATGTAGTTTAGTATAAAATGTCAATGATTTAATAGTCCTTAGACAACTCTGTATGGCACAGTTTGATGGGATGTACCTAAAAGGAGTCAATAAAATGAGAATTTTTTCATATTTCTGAAAGTAACTATGCATATATTGAGATTGGATGTTGGGAAATGGGCAAATAAAGGAAAAATGGTGCTTATAAAGTAATGATATTCTTCTCTCTGTATAATACTGCAAATACAAAGTTCAGTCTTATGAAGCATATCTCTAAATCATGAAAACTAATGAGGTATTGGTACAGGATAATATTGTTGTCCTGATGTTATGAGTATATCAAAGTTGAACAAAAAACGTGTCGGGTGTTGTGCCATGCACATTACTTCATGTGTTCAAGGTGCAGTTTAAGACTTTTAAATTGTTTTAGAAATTGAATAAAAGGTCTTTAAAAGGTTTGTTTTTTTGTTTTTGTTTTTTTTTTACTGGAATTTAGCAAACAATGGATTGGATTTTCATGGCCTGAAAAAGTGTAACTGTCTTACTTCTTAGATTTTCTTTGTGTAGGTAAACAGCTGCTCCTTTTCCAAATACCAATTATTTGTTTCCTCTCATTATGAACTCTCATTTGGGTGGATATAAGAACACTTTTGTCTCTACGCTACTGTGTGTAAAATAGATAAACAACTGGGACCTACTGTATAGCACAGGAAACTATATTCAGTATCTTGTAGTGACCTATAATGGAAAAGAATCTGAAAAAAATATCTATATATAAATGAATCATGTTGCTGTACACCTGAAACACTGTAAGTCAACTATGCTTCAATAAAAAAAGAACACTTTTGTCTCAACAAATTGTTTCAATTTGCCCGTCCCCTCATGTCTCCCCCAACAATCTAAGCAAAAGAAAAAGATATTAATAACAATGTATTTTGGCGTTTCACCGTGTAAAAGGTTGCCATGCCTAATAAACTTGGAAGCGATTTTATACTGTATTTTCCTCTTAGAAATTTAAAGTTCATGTTAGCCTTTTAAAGTCACTGAGAAGTCCTGCAACATTTCTTATAATTTCATATCTTCGTAGATCGCTGTTAGTTCCCTTACAACAAGAAATTGATACCATTGCTTTGACCTCATTTCGTTTTTCGAGATCATTTAAGGGTTGAAATCATTTAGTAATTACAGTTCATGGGAAACTTTGGGCTTGTATTGGTTACCTTTTTTCAGAAGTTATTTTGAAACCTGTAATTTTTGAAATGTCTGTTCTAAGTGTGTGTCTATGCTTATGTTTTTACTTTCAGGAGTACAAGATCCCCAGCATGAGAGAATTATTACTGTGTCTACTAATGGAAGTATTCACAGCCCGAGGTTTCCTCATACTTATCCAAGAAATATGGTCTTGGTATGGAGATTAGTAGCAGTAGAGGAAAATGTATGGATACAGCTCACATTTGATGAGAGATTTGGGCTTGAAGACCCAGAAGATGACATATGCAAGTAAGTGATCATACTTGAAATTCCAACAGTGTAACAACTGTTACAGTCTTTCAAGTTGCTTCATTTTGAGGCTGTGATTTTAAATGGCATCTTTTGTTCTCTTATGTTTTTCTGATGATCCAAGAAATTTACAACCTTATTTAAGCTCTGTTTCTATCTACATCTGATAGTAATTTGAGGTAATATATGGTAAAAAAAAATTACATATAGAGTAAAACAATTTATAAAATAAGGAATAGAGAATCAAAAGCCAAGTAAAGGAATGAAGGTTGTGCCAGAGTTACCACTAGTGCCAAAACTTTTACATTTGAGCTTCCTTATAGCCAAATCAATAAGATAAATAGTAAGCTGTAAAAAGAAAGAGCAGTGTCCATGCATACGTTTTATCCATACTATCCAGTATCCATAGATACACAAATAGATACGTACATACACCCAGAACTAAGAAATCTGAATATTTCATTACAAGGAAGAAGTCCAGTTCTGAAAGCAGAATTAAACATTTAGGCTAACATTATAGTTGGCCAGGTAGAAATTTATCATAATTCTCCTAGAAGCTTTCATGAACCAGAGTCAGCTGGAGTATTTCACCCACGCAAAAGACCACCTACCGTATGTCATACAAATATTAGTCTTTAAATCCTATGTGAATATACTTGTCAGGGTTGGGTGGTCTCAGGGAAGATTTTTCACTTCAATGGCATTTGTATATCATGAAAATATTTCACTTGAGCTTCTTTGTGGGGTTCTTTATTTTCCCTTTGATATACAAGTTAAAAGAGAATTTTCTCTTCGTGGCATATTACAGATAAATATTTCAATACAGATAAGATAAACTTTATGCTTGCTGTCATCACAAGTTGTATCTTTAACATTTATATATAGTTACATTTTTTCCTTCAAGTTCTTTTTTCTGTGGCTATGCGTTTCAGGTTATTTTTTCCCTTACATCTCTAATTTTAGGCTTTGAGAAGGATAAGCTATTCTAGCTATTTTTAGAGATGGTGTTATTCAACCCTTCATTTTATAGATAAGCAAACAAGCCAGAGAAGTAAAGTAGCTGCCCTAGATCTCATTCATGTTTTATAACTCAACACGTACTAAAATCCATTTTTCTAACCCTCGTAGAGATGTTTTCTCACCATGCCGTTCTACACCTCTTGCCTTCTTTTCATGTGGAGCATTACATAATGTTGTAAAAACTGCAGAGGGTTTAAAGTTTGGCCCTCCTTGCAAAGTATCAAGTTAACCTGCCACAGTTTCATGGATGCTGATTGCAGACAGGAGGCTCCCGGGTCCGAGACAAAGGATCCGTGACAGCAGTGGCAGTGACAGGAGTTCTGTTCCCACCGGTCAGTGCCGGGAGGGCCGCGTGACACCTGCACGCCTGGCTGGACGTGTGACGGGACAGGCAGCGTCCTGTGTGCGTGCGTGTGTGCACGCGTGTGTGTGTGATGCATGTGAGTGGTTAGATCGCAGAAGATAAACTGTCGTCCAGGACGCCTACCGCAGCATTTTGTGGCTCGACGTCACGCACCATAGGAGACTCGAGAAAAGTGACTCTTCCAATAGTTCTGAAATCCCTTCTTTTCGTGCTTCCTTGATGTACCTTCCTATTATTCCTGCACATATAATCATTGTCTTAAGTTTTTCTGTTTTTCCTCGACCTCCCAATTTTCTCTGTAATTTTACCACATGTACACATCTCCCTGTGAACTAGCCTGTAAAAATTGTTTTGCCTCTTTTGAAGTATATATCAGTGGGGTAATACTACGTGCTTACTCCTGTGACCTGATGCCGTCTGATGTTTTTCCAGTTCACGTAGATGCAGAGAGCTCGGGTCCTTTGCTTTCTGTGACAGACCGTACTCCATGGTATAAATAGGCAACCTTTCTTGTCTTTTCCGCTTTGATGAATGTCTGGCTTATTTCCAATGCTCCTTGTCCAAAGTGCAAGAAAACTTTCTTCGAATCTATAGCTGAGAATGGTATTGCTGTCTTAAGAAATTAATATTTTCAACTTCATGAGGTAGAGTTACATTATTCTTAAAAGTGACCAATTTACAGTTCTACCAACAATATACAAAATGTTGTTTTTCTGCATTCTCCCCAACCTTTTGATTTGGCATTCTTTTAATTCTGGGTATTACAGTAAGTGTAGAATTGTACCTTAATGTTAATTCCTATTTGTTTCTTCTTATTAGCAGTGAGCTTGAAAATTTTCATATTGTTGTTGGCTACTCAGATATCCTTCGCTGTGAAATTCCTGCTGATGTCTTTTGCCCAGTTTTTACTGGGATCTTTGGCTATTTAAACTTTGGTTTCCACATTTAAGTCCTTCATTCATCTGTAATTCATCTTATCGATGTGAGGTTCTTCACTAGGGTATCACATAGAGTCCTGACATCATTTATTCATTTATTTATTTAATTTTTATTTTTTATATTACGCGGGCCTCTCACTGTTGTGGCCTCTCCCGTTGCGGAGCACAGGCTCCGGGACGCGCAGGCTCAGCGGCCATGGCTCACGGGCCCAGCCGCTCCGCGCCATGTGGGATCTTACTGGACCGGGGCACGAACCCGCGTTCCCTGCATCGGCAGGCGGACTCTCAACCACTGCGCCACCAGGGAAACCCAGCAAAGGCATTTTTTTTTGTTTGCGGTCCGCGGGCCTCTTACTGTTGCGGCCTCTCCCGTTGCAGAGCACAGGCTGCGGACGCGCAGGCTCAGCGGCCATGGCTCACGGGCCCAGCCGCTCCGCGCCATGTGGGATCTTCCCGGACCGGGGTACGAACCCGCGTCGCCTGCATCGACAGGCGGGCTCTCAACCACTGTGCCACCAGGGAAGCCCCTGACATCATTTATTGAATAGTCACACTTTCTTCCAATGATGTGCAAAGCCAACTTACAGGTCAGATTTTTGTATCTGATCTGGCCTGTTTCTCGGCTCTCTGTTCTGTTCCTTGGGTTTACTGTGCCCCCCTGTGTACCAAATTGACCCTGTCTCAATTACTGTAGCGTTACAGAAGCTGTGTGGTAGGGAAGTCGCCTTGTTTTCCTCTCCTTTTCGAGCATCCTCACCATTTTACTTTTCAATATATGTTTTCAGAAATAGGTTACCAAGTTCCTTGAAAACTCCTGCTGTGATTTTTATTGAAATAGCCTTGCACGTATAGATCATTCTGAGAAGAATGCACGTATAGATCATTCTGAGAAGAATTGACATCCTTATTGTAACGACCTTTCTGTCCTTGAAACTTTATGCTTCTCCGATTATTTGGGTCTTCTTTATTGTCTGTACAGTTTTAAACTATTCTTTATAAAGATGTGATGCATCATTATTTAGATTTCTTTCTATGGTCTCTTACTAAAATCGCTTTTTGAAAATTACATTTCTAATTGTATATTGCTGGTATATAGAAAGGCAATCAGTTTTTTAGTAGCAATCTTGTAGCTAGCATTTCTAATTGTATATTGCTGGTATATAGAAAGGCAATCAGTTTTTTAGTAGCGATCTTGTATCTAGCATTTCTAATTGTATAGTTTTTTAGTAGCGATCTTGTATGTAGCAAACTCACTAAGCTCTTTATTTTAATAATTCTTCTGGCAATTATTTTGGATTTGTGCAAAAAAAGATATGGTTCATGAGAAAGATGTCTTTCTTCCAGTCAGTTCTTTTTACTCTTTTCTATTTCTTATTAAGTTGTTGATTGCATGAGGAGGTGTCTCTGACTTCCTGATTTGAGTTTGCTTCTTTAAAAAAAAATAAAGTTTAAACTTTGGAATAACTTTAGATTTACAGAATGTTGCAAAGATGGTATAGTTCCCATATTCCCAGGTTCCCCCCATGTTATATCTTCCGTCAGCACCACATATTTGCATAACTAAGACGCCAGCATTCACACAATGCCACTCACTGAGCTACACGCTTTACACAGATGTCAGCGGTGCGGTCACTCCGTGTGCTTCTTCTGGTTCAGGATCCTTTCCAGGATGAGCCTTGCCTTCAGTCCTCAAGCCTCCTTAGTCTCCTCCGACCTGTGAGCTTCTCTTTTTGGTCTTTCATGGCCTTGAGAGTTTTGAAGAGTAGTGGTCAGGTAATTCGTAGAAGAGGGCTCAGTTTAGGTTCTTCAGATGTTTCCTGGTGATCACACTGAGGTTATTGGTTTGGGGGAAGGGTTCCAAATAGGTGAGCTGCTCTTCTCCTCATATGGTGGCAGAGGGTATGTACTACCAGCCGCACTCATCACTGACGGTGTTAGCAATAATCGCTCAGGTCAGGTGGGCTTCTCCTCTGGTGAGGAAGTACATTTCCCTTTCATATGCTATTATTTGGAGGTACGTGACGAAGTCCAGTCCACATTCTAGGAGACGGTGATTAAGTTACACCTCCTAGAGGGGGGAATATATACATATATTATTGGGAATTCTTCAGTAAAGAAAATTTGTGCCTCTTCCTTTTCTTCCCTCCTTCCTTCCTTCCTTTATTTCTTCAATCATTTGTATCAGTATAGACTCACGGAGATTTATTTTATGCCCTGTGTTATAACGCAGTGCTATTGTCGTTTACTTTGTTGTTGAAATCGTTTCATCTTTGGCCACTGGAGGTAAAAGTTTTGTTAACACATCGATATTGAATATGATGATTGATGAAGATTTTCTTATATTATTTGAAGTACTTTGTTTTTGTTTTGTTTTGTTTTACTTTTCTAAGGGGCCTATTTTCCCTTTGGGAGACATTTTTTTATTCATTTAATTTGGCTTTTAAAAGTAAGTTACAGAGATAATGACACTTTATACCTCACCATGTATCACCTAAGAGCTAGGATATTTCCTTTGTCTTTTGAAAACCAGTATCACCTGCAAGAAATGTAACATTAACATGAAACTATTACCTGATATATAGTTGATTTTCCAATGTTTCTCACGATCCCAATATGTTATCACTTCATTATTTGCTTTTTTTCTTATTATGCTTTGATTCGGTAATCAGTCATTGATC